AAAAAAAAAAAAAAAAAAAAAGCACAGTAAGGAATATTTAAAGGGAATAGGAAAAGATTTTTTCTTCATGCACTGTTTTGATTTGGTTTTGGTATTTCCCAGGTGCTTTCTGCATGTGAAAAGTTTCATCAGGAGAAAATCAGGACTTTAAAACTTTTTAATGAATACAAACCTCTGAGAGAATTTTGAAAGAAAAATTGTTGATGTAACCTTAGGACCTGGATGTAACGCTGCTAGCCTTCAGCTGTCTGGGAATGTGATTTACTCTCTAAGTTGGGCTGAAAAGCTTTATCCTTTTGAACAGGACACGGATGTATGCTCACAAATTTGGGGGTTGATTTGGTGTATGTACACAAGCTAAACACCGATGCTCTGAATGGAGATTTGGCAAAGACTGGTTTAGTTTGGTATTAAAAGTATCCAACTCTCCCTAAACATATGGTACTATTACATACAACAAAACAGAGTTGTGGTTGGTCATAGTATGTAAAAAGAGAGTGTGTTTAGAGTAAAAAAAAATTAAAAAGTAACTGAAATTACAGTTTAAAAAGAAAAATAAATAAGAAGTTAAATTCCAGCCAACTCAGTTAGCGCCGCTTGAAGCTTTCGGAAGGAAGAAATAGCTACAGAGAGGAAAAAAAAGCTAAGTAAAGTTAGCTGAAATACAGCAAAATGTTTGAGAGGAGAGATGTATCGCAGCTTCTTTCCATGAACTACCTTTCTACTTACATAGGCACCCGCTCCTAAGGAGGATAAGCCCACAATAAGGACAAAAACAGAGCTATCGCCTTTGCCCCCGGGCACACCAGAGCTAGTCACTTGTCTGCTCAGCTGCAGTTTTATGGGGACACTCCAGCGCTGCAACAAGTTGCCTGAGGAATATAATTCATTAGAGAAAACAAAAACCAAACAAAAACACACACAAAAAGACTGTCAATAGCAAAATATTTAGAGACCCGAGTAAATTTCTGCAACCAACTGTTTGAAACGCCCTGTACCTACATCTGAGAGTGACTCAGGAGTGAATTCTCCTCTGCCACAACAAATGCCTCCAGGTAGTTTGTGGTTACCAAAAACATCTGGCAGATCAAAGAGTAACTCAACAAATGAACAGCAGGAACATCTACCAGGAAGCTAGGAAGACTGAAGAGCCTTGGAGCCACGTATCTCTGGGAGAACCCATCACAGAAGCACTCGGTCTGCTGTTCTGACACCCTTCTCCAAGCCTCTGCTGGCACTGGAGTAAAATAATGATGTATTTTACTCCACCACGTGCAGAAGCTAATATAACCTTGTCAGGACACACAAGGAGGGATGGTGATACCAGCAAAAGGTCCCTGTGCCAACACAGCTTATTCCCCTGAAGTAAACTACCAGCAGAAAGAGGTTTCAGCTGAAAAAAAAGGGCATCCCAAATGAAAAGCAGCAAGGTTTGCTGGTCCAGATGGAGGCACCTCCCAGCACCCAAGTGAGACACAGAGGAACATCTAGATGAACAGCTATATAATGTTTTATTTTCTGAGTTTAATCACACACAGTCTGTCCCCCTTAGATCTTTCCATAGAGCAATCGAGGTGATTGCGTTCTTCTGCTGAATGTGTTCCCACCTGACGAGGAAAACACCTTCAGCCACCTCTGATATACAGATCACAGAATCCCACACTGGTTTGGGTTGGAAGGGACCTCAAAGATCCCCCAGTTCCATCCCCCCTGCTGTGGACAGGGTTCCCAGCCACTAGATCAGGTTGCCCAGGGCTCCATCCAACCTGGCCTAGAATGTCTCCAGGGAGGGGGCATCCACAGCTTCTCTGGGCAACCTGGGCCAGTGTCTCACCACCCTCTGGGTGAAAAATTTCCTCCTCACATCCAACCTCAATCTCCCCTCTCTCAGTTTTAAACCATTTCCCCTTGTCCTGTCACTCTCTGCCCTTATAAAAAGTCTCTCTCCCTCCTGTTTCTAAGCTCCCTTCAAGCACTGGAAGGTCACGATGAGGTGTCTCCCTGGAGCCTTCTCTTCTCCAAGCTCAACAAGCCCAGCTCCCTCAACCTTTCTCCAGCAGAGAGGTGCTCCAGACCTTGGATCATCTTCCTGGCTCCTCTGGACCTGCTCCAACAGCTCCACATCTTCCCTGTGTTGGGGTCTCCAGGTCTGGTGCACACGCTACACCAGTTTGATGTCTTTGCCGAAAAGCACATATTTGTGATATAAACTCAAAACAAATGGATACAGAGATGCTAAAGAGCTCCATCTCACAGCATCCCAGACTGGTTTGGGTTGGGA